TCTGAAAGTTGCAGCTTACATCTTCTATCCATGTACACATACAAGAGGGATCGTACCTTGTGTGGCTGATCCACGGCATCGCAATGCGGTATTGACGCAGATGATGGAGATCTTCTTGCACGATTCTTCCCACAGTTCGATTCCCTTACATGGTGGCGAAGAGATTATTGGGATGGTTGACATTGTTTGAGCCAAAACCCAGAATGATCGTCTCGTGAATCAATCGCCCAGCGAGGTGCTTTGTTATGTCAGCATGCGTACCCCTATATACGCCCTCACCTCCACGAACCAATGCAATCCGACGTGAAACCCGACGCGCCGCATTGCTAACAGGGGCGCACGTGAACATACAAGTTGCGTTTGTCGGTATGGCGATGGCATGTTTCGTTGAAGCCCCTTCGGTTCAAGAGATGTTGGCCAACAATTCAATCGCGCTTTGCGTATGTGGACTCTAGCTCACATGATGGTGAGTCGTTGGTTTGTTGCTTTGGTGCTCGTGCTCGCACATGTCCAGCTTTCGTGGTCTGTGAGTTTGAGCTGTTGGGTTGGAGAGTATGCCGACCTTGAGTCTCTATGTTGCGATGCCCGTCATGGGCCGAGGGGATACGAGCAGTGCTGGGACGGCGTGTTCTCGTTCGAGCGCTGCTGCACCAGCGCCCAGGCCGAGAGTCCGATGGGCTCTCAGAGTCAGGATCCGATAGACGCTAAGACTCAGGATCCGATTCTGGACTGGACGTTCGACGGCTACATGTACTGCTTCGATCGCGAGGCTTGCTGTGATGATGGCGTCTCGTGTGCGGCGTTCACGGTGTGCTGCGACATGGCCGCATTCTCGAGATGCCGGCACATCCAGCAGGCTCGGCCCCTGCCGTGCGACGCGCCGCCCACCTCGGCCATGAGAGTGCTGAGCGTCGCGAACTTCAGCGGCTCGCCCTCGGGGCGGTCCTTCGGGCTGCAGGGCGTGCTCTGCCAGAACGGGCTCATGGCCCTCGAGGACGACTTCCACTACGCCGGGCTCGCCCCGCCGGGCGAGCGCCTCCTGACCGCCACGTGCGCGGGGGCGTTCGGCATGAGCCCCAAGTACGGCGTCTGGCAGGTGGACCTGTCCACGCTGCACGAGGCCTCGAGGTGCTGGGAGGCCGGCTCGTTCTGCAAGCTGTTCGCCACTCGCATCACGATCAAGAACGTCATGAACGTCGAGAGCACGTCCGACTACGTCATCGCGGCGCCCGCCTCCTGCAACGCATCGGACGTCCTGCTGACCCTCGTCCCGCGGCTCGCGCAGCGGCTGTTTACCTTCCCGGCGGTCGTGAGCGAGGCTCGACTACACTCAAGAGTGACCCTTCGCCAGAGTGACCCTCGGTGCGGGCCCACTGGGGCCCCCCGATCGCCGAACGCGATGCGACGTTCCGCGTCTTGCGCTCCTGTGTTTGTCAGCCACGCGCAGAGGGGGGTGGGGGGAGGGGGGAGGGCTTCTTAGAAGCACCCCTGCTTCTTAGAAGCGCGGGCCTTATCTATAGATGCAAGGCCGACGCCTTCTAAGAAGCAGCCTGCTTCTAAGAAGCCCTCCCCCCTCCCCCCACCCCTTGTGCGCGCCGCCAAGTTTGCGCCCCGTGGCCCCCCCAAAGCGCGCACCAGAGGTCACTCCTGCGCGGGGTCACTCCTGCGTGCCGCCGAGAGTCGGGCGAAGAGAACTATGCACATGCACTGATCCTGGCAAGGCCCATCCTTGACCCAGGATCGGTGCATATGCCTTCCTGGCCAAGGTAGGAGGGCGTATGCACCGATCCTGGGCTCAGGATGGGCCTGGCCAGAATCGGTGCATGTGCATAGTTCTCTTCCCTCTAGAGAGGCCCGCGTCGAGCAGGTGGAGGCCGGAGACCCCTGCCTGCAGCGGTGGCGGCCCTCCCTGGCGCTCCCGGCGCTCGTGTCCCTGGCCCTGTGCGCGCCGTGGCTCGCGCTGCCCGCCCAGCCGCAGCGGCGGCGGGCCTCGGCGCCCGACGTGCTCCGCATCATGGGCGTGGGCCTGCCTTCCACCACCACCACCAGGACATGCAGGGGGGAGGAGGAGGAGGAGGGGGAGGAGGAGGAAGGGGGAGAGGAGGAGGAGGAGGAGGAGGAGGAGGAGGAGGAGGAGGAGGAGGAGGAGGAGGAGGAGGAGGAGGAGGAGGAGCGAGGAGGAGGAGGAGGAGGAGGAGAGGAGGAGAGGAGGAGGGAGGAGGAGCGAGGAGGAGCGAGAAGGAGCGAGAAGGAGGAGTGAGGAGGAGGAGGAGGGGGAAGGAGGTGGAGGATGAGGAGGAGAAGGAAGGAGGAGGAGGAGGAGGAGGAGGAGGAGGAGGAGGACCTCCTCCCCCTCCCACTTCTGGTGGTGGTGGTGGAAGATTGAGCCCACCGTCATGGGCGTGTGGTACGCGTACAGCGAGCACACGGCGACCTCGGTCCCGTTCCGGTCCTTCGTGCGGGCGCTGGGTCTTCGGGACGATCGATCGGGTGTTGCTAGAAGTGCCCCTGGGCCAAGGTGCCCCCAGGATTCTAGGGGTACCCCAAGCGGCCTCCAGGGCAACCCCCACGAGGCCCATAGGGCCTCAGGGGCTCCAAAATGGAGCGAAAAACTGTGGGCACCTTGGGCCAGGGGTACTTCTAGCAACACCCGAATCGAAGTGGGTACAGAAAGAAGGGGTGCGATGCCCAGCAGCAGTCCCTGTTCATTTGTTGCACAGGAGGCCTCGCTGTTCGCGCCGCTGCGGACCGCTGTTCGCTGAGGACACAAAAGCCGCCTGCCCAACAGCGGCCGCCGTCGGTTTGGGACAACGTTTGTTGTTGGGCATCGTGCCCATGTTTTTCCGTGCCCATCTCGGGCGTCCAGAGGTCTGCACGGCGAGGCCCGAGACCACTTCGAGGACTTCTTCATCGTGGTCACCGTGCGCCTGCTCGCCGTTGGCCGCCCGGGCCCGCGGGTGCTCGCCGCGCGCCTGGTCCGGAAGGCCGCCCGCCAGACGGCGGTCGCGCTGGCGTTCCTGATTTGGCTGCCGCACCTGCTCTACAGTGATGGGCCTGTTTTCCACCACCACCACCACCATAAGTTGGAGGGGGAGGGGGTCCTCCTTCTCCTCCTCCTCCTCCTCCTCCTCTTCCTCCTCCTCGTCCTCCTCCTCCTCCTCCTCCACTCCTCGTCCTCCTCCTCATCCTCCTCCTCATCCTCCACCTCCTTCCCCCCTCCAACTCATGGTGGTGGTGGTGGAAAACAGGCCCATCATACAGGGAGACGCCGGCCACGTGCCTGGACCCGCCGCCGGGTCCGACGTGGAGCGGCAGCACGATGCCGCAGTACATGCCCCTCGCCTGGATGTGCGGGTGGTTTGTGCGGCTGGCAACGATGACCACGCACCCGCACCAGTGGGTGCCTCCTGGATCGCACTCTTGGCCGACAGTGGTGTGGTACTTCGAGGCAGAGTTACAAGTGTTCTTGGTATTATGCCTGCTGTGCATTTGTCATGGGTCAAAGCCGCGCCTTTCAGAGTGTGCGTGTGCTTGTGTTTATGCGTGGATGTTCAGCGCGGCTCTTGAGAACAGTTCTTGCAAGGGAACTCATTATTGAATCGCTTCGCTCATTCCGCCGGCCCGTGATATGGCATCGCTGGTTTTTGTCTGTGTGTTCATTGCCCATGTTGCGCTCTTGGGGGCGGGTGTCGTTCGGACGCGTTGCGTGGGGAGTTTTGATGGTGAAGCAGTTCCCTGGGGGTCGTCTCTCGATGGGGCGAAATAGAGTCGTCGCCAAGATGCTTCTTTGGGGGGCCTCTTGGGGTCTGTTGAGAGGCCGTTCGGGGGCGCCTGGGAGACATGATTGAAGCCTTCAGGGGCTTCTTTTGGGCCTCCTGGGAGTCTCCTGGGGCCTCTTGGCGACATCTTGGGGCCTCTTGGAGGCCTCTTGGGGCCTCTTTGGGACCTCATGGGCGCCTTCTGGGACGGAGGGCTCCATTTTTGAGTTCTCGGTATCCCTCCTGAGTCCCTCTTGGGCCCGTCTTGGGGCCTCTTGGTCCGTCTTGTGCGGCACTTGGGCCGTCTTGAGGGCTCTCTTGGGTCGTTTCGGCGCCGTCTTGGGAGCTTCGTGGGCCGTCTTGGAGCGGTCTTGGGGGCCTCTTGGGCCGTCTTGGAGCGTCCGGAAGCCGAAAAAGCCAGAACACAAAAAACATCGAAAAAACCAATGAAAATCAACGATTTTGGCCTCTTGGGGCTCTCTTCGGAGGCCTCTTGGAAGGCTCTTGGGGCGTCTTGGAGGCCTCTTGGGCTGTCTTGGGGGCCTTTTGGGCCGTCTTGGGGTCATCTTCGGCGTCTTCGAGCGCTCTTTGGGCGTCTCGGGGGCCTCTTGGGCAGTCTTGGGGGCCTCTTGGGGCACTCTGAGCGCGCTCTGGGGAGCCTGAGAGGCCGCACCCAGAAGGAAAACCATCTCTGAGTAGACTTGGTCGGGCGGCGGTCGGGCGGCGACCGGGCGGCGACCGGGCGTTGGTCGGGGTACTTTTCGCCGGGGGACCCCCAGGGGCCGCACCGCGCGCGCGAACTAGAAATACTGTTAATACTGTTAACCAGTTACCGGAGATCTTAGCACGCCCTGGCCCGTTGGGCCGGCGAATTGGAAAGGCCTCTGCCCAGTGCCGCCGATCCGGGGCGCTACGGATGATGATGATGATGATGATGATGATGATGATGATGATGATGATGATGATGATGAGATGATGATGATGAGATGTATGTTGATGTTGATGTTGATGATATATGATGTTGATGATGATGCATGGTCGTAAGATGATGCGACGATGACTTCCATGACGATGACGATGACGATGATGATGATGATGATGACGGTAATGATGATGATGATGATGATGATAATGATGAGATGATGATGTTGATGATGATGTAATGATGATGATGATGTTGATGATGATGATGATGATAAGGAGATGATTGAGATGACGAGAGATGATGATGATGATGTTGATGAGATGATTGATGAAGATGATGGATGATGATGATGATGATGATGATGAGATGATGATGATGATGAGGATGATGATGATGATGATGATGATGATGATGGTGGTGGTGTGGTGGTGGTGGTGGCGATGCTGATGATGATGATGATGATGATGATGATGATGATGATGATGATGATGATGATGATGATGATGATGATGATGATGATGATGATGATGATGATGATGATGATGATGCTGATGTTGAGGCAGCTTTTGAGCTTCTTGGGGGCCTTTGGGGGGTCCTTGGGGGCCAGTTGGGGTCTTTTTGGGGCCTCTTGGGGGCGTCTTGGGGCCTCCTGGGGGCCTCCTGGGCCGTCTTGGGCCCTTCTTGGGCCGTCTTGGAGCCCTTTTGGGCGCCTCTTGGGCCCGTCCTGGAGCCCTCTTGCGCCGTCTTGGGGGCCTCCTGGGCCTGCGTAAGCCCTTCTTAGGCCGTCTTGGAGCCTTTTTGAGGGCCCCATTGAGCCGTTTTGGACACTGTGAAGGCCCAAGAGGCGAACATGCTAAAAATGTAGGTTGTCCTAAGGGAAATCTGTGGAAGCCCCCCCCCCTACTCCTGCAGAGCCACCCTGGCCCACCCCCCCCTTCAACTCACACGCCGGATCGGCGGATTGCATGTCCATGCATTACAACTGCTTACCCAGCGCGGTCGGTCTTTACTTCTTGGAGCAGGCGTTGCAGAATAGTCAATCGTTCTCTGATCTTCTGCGGAAGCGAGCGGTAGCATGCACAGGCATGCTTCTCTTGTGTTTGCCCTTGTCTTTTGTATTCGCGGACTGGTTCGAGCACCAAACATGGTGGACGCCAAATGTGTCAGAGTCATGCCATAAACCTGTGGAGCACGATATCCGAGCAATGTTCGCTGGCCTGCCATGGAAGGTGTGCTTGCTCGTCCTGACGCACATGGAGCTGCGAGTGCCCTGGTCAGCGGAGCAGGTGATCTGCTTCTTATCCCAGATCAGTATGTCTCTGAATCTGTGCCATAGGCTGGTGAGGGATGGTTTCAACGCGCACTTCCCAGCGTGGAGGGCGAGACGCCTAGAGCACAGAGGCGTTGTGGAAGATCACGTATGCTTTCTCTTGCCACTTCTGGCCGTCAACATTGCGCTGGCATTCTTTGTGCACACGGTGTGCGACAAGCCGTGGACAGCATTGGCAAGACGGGCGGAGCAGAGGCCGAACTTGTGCGCACTGCTCGCGGCAACCTACATTATGGTGTGTTTGTTGGTCTGGTGGACGGAGTCCTACATGCTCTGGGGAATGGCGTGAATAGCATTGAAAAAAGGCCGTCCGCGAGGCATCTGAAAGCGTTGCCCCTCTTGTTATGAAGCAGTGGCCCGGCAGGGTGGACATCGTGGTTCTCGTGTTATGATCGTCTTAGCCGTTTGTTTCATCAATGCTCTTGATGCGAAGAAATATGTGGGGAGCCATCGGTTGCGATTCGTCATTGGAACATGCCTAGAAACACGCCTATGCACACGTCTAGACACGCGCATAGACACCCCATAGACATGCCCATATACACGCCCATATACACGCCTATATCCACGCCTAAATACATCTCTATATAGATATGCCTGTTTACACGCCTATAGGCATCCCTATATACACACACACACACACACGCACCTAAATACACGCCTGTATACACGCCTATATACACGCAGATGGCCCCACCACACGCTAAACCCCACACACCTCTCGGACCTTTCTGTGAGCCGACCCCCGCAAACCCACAAATCCACAACCCTGGGACCTCTCAAACCTCCCTCTGGGCCGAACCCTACAACGCCACAACCACACCGATACACAAACCACGCTACCAACCAGACCACGAGACCACCAACCACACCACCACCAACCGCTCCACCAGACCTCCAACCACACCACCAGACAACAACATCAAACCACGAGCCACACCACACCAGCCACCTCTCCACCCACACCACCAACCGAACCAATTATACCACCAGCCACACCACCAAACACACCAAAAGAGACCTCCAGCCACACCATCAACCGCGCCACCAGACAGCCAACAGCACCACCATTCACACCACCAGCCACACCACCGCAGCAACCACACAACTAGACACCGAATACCAGACCACCGACCACCCGACACCAACTACGAGAACACAGCCTCTAACCCTACAGGCTCTGACCTACCAGCCTCAACCCTAAAGATTGTTTAACCATACAGACCATAAGCCTACACAGACCATACACCCATCACACAGACCCTCCTAACCCTCACCCTAAAGACCCCGCAGACCCCCCTCACCCTACAGGACGTAGATCTACAGACCCTCACCCTACAGACCCTCAACCTGCGGACCCCAACCCCAACCCCACAGACCCGCAAATGACCGGCATTCCGACACGCGAACGCCCCGCACTGCGACGCGAAAGCCCGGCGCGAGCGCCCCGTCGCGAATGCCCGGCATTTTGCGAGTGCAACGCCCGC